TTGAACGTTGTACATTTGATTTAAAAATTTAAAGATTGACTAACAATTAACTTCTACATTTTCAGTCAACCATTCAATATAACATTTTCATTAATATTTTATTTAAATACCCTAACAAATGTAACCGAAGTAACTCGAGATAGGCACTTGACAAAGTTTACAGAAATTCAATAAAATACGAAAACATGCAATAACTGTTACATTATAACAAAAAAAAATACGCTTAGTTATGTATTGTATTTCAATATAAGCCCCCTTTTTCATTTTTTTATCCATAAAATATTTATATGTAGTAAAATACAAAAATATGCAATATTTTGTTTTAACTGGCTGTTAAAATTAATAAAGGAATCTAAAATATTTAATTTTTAATTTTAGACTAATATCATAGACTAACCAACACAAGAGTATGTTTTATCTATGCTAATATTTAATTTTTTCAAATGGTGTGTGCAAATTAATAAAATAGCTTCAAATATACAAGCATAACAATTAAAAATAACAGTAAGATAGATGTAAGCTACAACATAACTTTAAAATATAATTCTTTAGACGAAAATGATTCAAATTAAATTTAATTCAACCCAAAATGTACTGTTATCAAATTGATCGTGTGGAATTTGTGATCCATACAGAATTATTTTGTTATCCAACAATTTAAAGAGTCTTCGACAAAACTGGAAATGAAACCAGTTTCATCAATAGCCTCGGTTTCCTCCATTTATCGTTCAAACGAAAAATGAGATCGAATCCCAACTCACAAAAACTGGACGCGTTCGCGTTTCACGTTTACTTAAAGGTTGCATAACACAGAGATGTGTCTTAGAAACTGTTGGCAGTAAAATAAGTTGTCCTAACTTTGTAAATCAAATTAATTTCCTTTTCTCCCAGTCATTTATAGTCTTATGTAATTGCCAGTAAGCTGCTTAGCGTATAAGTGCCGGAGCAAGAAGATAATAATTAATAATTAATTAAGTATCATGAAATTGGTGTACAGTTGCATTATTGTACTTTGTATTGGTAAGTGTAATTTGACTCTTTGCAAAAAAGTTGGGATCAGTAGTTTTAGTCCGATAGAGCATAGTTTAACGATATAACCAATTTTAAACAACAATTATCTAAAACAAGAAACTACAGACACTACAGGACTATATTTCAGTAGGCATTAAGCTTGAATACGAATTTAAGAACCATGGCTTTACAGTAAATTAAAAGTTTAATTGAAACCCATGTTAACGATATTTTCCAACAAATTACGTGAAGAAAATTAAAACAGGGACCGATTCGATTGTATTGGCTTGTTTTAGCAAGTAGTTTCATACAGCATACTAGTTCCCAATTTTGATTTTCGAAAGTACAATATTAATTATTTTATCTGTTGTGCAATGCAAATACTAGCCTACTCTGCGATTGAATACAATTTTTCTTAAGAAAACTCTATCTAATATTTGTGGAGATATTCGTTGGAATTCTTAAAAATGTAGATGCAATGCTTCCAAAACATTGTATTATATTTTATAAAATTTGCTCAATTTTATACAGTCACTTCCGAAAAAAATACAAAAAATATTCCTTACTCCCCCTAAACTTTATCCGTCCGGGGTTTTTACCAAATACGTTAAATGCTTCTAATACTCCAATAATATTTTTATAACCTGAGTCCTCTCCCTACGGTCACTGTCCCGCAAAAATATTCCTCCGCGCGAAACTTTTCAATATTTGCAAACAGTGCACCCCCGCGGGGGGAAAGTTGTTGTTTTACGTGTGTGGCCCACCTGTCAGGGTACCGAGAAGGGTACAAAACATCCCTTTGTGTGGGGGTAAGTGCCCTCTAGTTGCCCTACCTGGAACCCTACAATGAGGCTGCATAGAAGTAACGGTACGCCCTGCTTACACTAAAGGGGTTGCATTGGGGAGCATGTCAGCGTGGCAGGGAAATACCGACCCTTTTGTCCACTAATTCCTACTTATCTGGTTAAAAACTTCTAGTTATCGGGTTCAAAAGGGGTTGTGCGTTATTATTTTGAGTGGAAATGAGTTTGTTGTATCTCAGTTTTACGGGTTGAAAAAAGTTCAGATTGAGATGCATCACAATTGAGCTATTTTTTGTTATGCAGGATCTATGTGTCTCTGTGCACTTTAATGTTTAGTAGTCAATAACCTGCGCACTTTAAGTTTAGTAGGACAAAGAGCGGGAAAATTTAGAAGTTTTTCATAGTAAATATATTTATGTATAACGCTGGTGGTGTTGTTCTTTATTTGTGTAACTTAGATCAATTTTCAAGCATTAATTTGCAATTTTTCTAAATAGTGAGTCTAGTTTAGTAAAATACATTTACTTTCTTCGTTCAATAATTACATGTAGGCATACATTAAATTGGATTTGTAAAATGTTTGTTTAAACAGAATAGCCTACTGTACGTAATTAATTAAATGTTAGCCTAGTTACCGACGATGATCAGCTGGTTCTTGCAATCGTTAATCAAACTCACAACAATAAAGGAAATCTAAATAAAACCCCCAATTGCTATACGAACGTCATTGACGCACGAGGCCACAAGATAAGACAACTTTAAGACATATCGGGATATAATTAATGTATTGTTTGTCATCGCGAGACTACCTGACTGTCCACACTGCCTGCCCTCAGCTGGCGACACGGCGGTACAGATATTGGAGGGAAATGTAGATGTGGTCTTACGAAAGTATAGTAAGGTTACTTTAACACAGTTTTGACAAGACATTTTTCTTGCATTGAACGTTTGGGTTTAAACACAGAGAATGATTGCTTTCGTAGCAGTGAAAGCCAGTTGAGCGGAGCGATCACGTTTCATGGTTTTTAATAAAGTAATAAATTAGTTTGTCTCAGGACTATCACCGTCTATTATAAGATTCAAAATTAAAGATGTACGGACATTACATGCATATCCTTTGTATCGGTATTTTTTTTTCTATATTTACTTTGTAATGTCATCTGGTGAACCCAGTTGTGGTTGAACCCGGCCAATAAACATTTTCTCAATCTTGGCCAGATTTGGCGATTCAGGTAGACATAATCCTGCACAGATCCATATAGTTAACATATGTAATTTTTTTTTAGACTTGCCTTTATAGTTGGGAAGTATAGAATGCGGTGTTTAAGCTCAGTGGTAGACCACGTGTTTCGTTGATAATAGCCAACTTACATAAACATTAGTTCAACAATATGCTCTATTAGTTAAAAAAGCATATTCAATTTGTTCGTCTAACGCGCATTTACAAAAGATCAATATTATATCTTTACTAACAAACACATGTTTATTAACAAACACATTTAGTCGACTTTGACACACTCAGACGTTTCCACAAATTTCACAATAGGATAAGAAGTTTACTTGCACTGTTTTAAGTAAACAATAATACCGCATCTTCATAATAGCCTATTTAGATAAAAATATTGATTTGATAATACCTAGTTATTTAAAACTGTTGATCCATGTAGTTGTTTTAACTCCCAATAACATATGATAAATCCTAATTTATATTACATAAATAAAATCTGTAAAATATTGTACCTATTCGATCAGTGGTAGTTTCCAAAAAGCGTGTAATACTTTCTTTGCATTATTTAATCACGGGTCATCATTTGAATATTTATCCTATGTTCTGTGTTTAGGTGGTATATTGGCTTGATTTTAACATATGCTATGATTCTTTGTTTTGTTTATATATACGTAGTTATTTTGTAACCATCATGGCAACAAAAAAGCCAACGTTAAAATTTGAAAACTTTAAGTTACTTTTAAATTATATTGGCATAATCAAAAATTGAAATTGTTTAGTCTTATAAACCTTCCAAACATTTGGCGAAACAACCTTGGTAAGTTAGGCTAAAATGTGTTATTATTGAGTGATACCTAGTGAAAGTTGTGTAGGGATATTAATTAAAAAAAAAAAAAATTCATGTAACCCTGATTAAACTTGAAGGTATATAATGTGATTTTATTATATGTCTAAAATTATTCCACTATGGTTTTTATGATGAAGGATTCTATTAGTTGTTATACAATATGCAAACTCAATATTTTACGTTTGGCGATTAATTGTAATAATATACTGATATATTACTGATATTTTCTCTTCATATTGTGTATTATCGCTTAGTTCATGATGTTATTACATTACCTTTAATCTTCCCAGTGATTTTACTGCGCCTCATCTCATTCAAGATCTCATAATGCGATTTATATTATTTTCTATTGTAAAACAATTTCTTTTAAAGTCATAAAGAAATTATTTGATCCCATAGCGATCTCATGGCATTATTTGTATGTTATATCATTGACTATAGGATACAGAAGTCAAAACTATGTATAATTATCACATTGTACTGTATTTAGTTTTAACTATTCATTACACTTTGATGTTTTCCGGATTATTCATTAATTTCATAAGCCAAATTCTAGATGTTTCAGTATCATTTTGTATTTGATACATCCATGATCTTATTACGATAGATTTTACAAAATATACGGTAATGGATCCCACGATTCTTGATTACATGGATCATCTCATTCATTCATTTTAATTATTTGTTTATTTTCAACCTGGTATTCTACATCCAATTTTCTCATAGACATTTTTATTTGCTGTATCACTTATGTTATGTTATTACTGATTTCATAAGTGACATCATTTTCTAAAATGTTCTCTATTTTAACCATCTTTCAGCGTTCTACATGATACTCGCGACCTTACTTATGATTTTCCATAATTGTTAATCTATATCCAACTTTCTCAGAGATGATATATTTCGTGATCTCATTAATGTGACGCCATTACTGATCTCAAAAGTGTCATCAATTTCAATTTTCTTCATGATGTTTACCATCTTCCAACCTCTATTCGCGATCTTATTTATGATTTTCCATAATTTTCAACATTTCACCAATTTTCTTCACCGTTTTCACCCTCTCACCACCCTCTGGACGGCCAATGATCGCCAAGTGTTGCTGTTACAGAGTCGTGCGAAAGGATCTAAACATAAGAAGCGTTCCGGTGGTAGCCTGTCTGACAGTTCTGGCAGTGTCATTCGACAGGTAAACACGTAATGACTATGACGTCATATGTGGCGTCACAAGCATGATGACGTCACTGATCGCCTTCATCGTCACCGTCATCTGATTCAGACATCTCATTGGCCTTTTTTAACATTTCGTATTTTTTTATTACAATATTGTTCCTAATATTTTCTTTCAATTTAATGGTACCATGGCTGTGACGTAGAGAATTCCGTGAGTAAGTTCAACAATTTGGGAATCAAACCCCATCAAGTAAAAAAAAATCGAATAATAAATAGTTACTTAAAGATGTTTTTTGATAGGCAAAAAGTAGGTGAAAAGAGGGACACCCTGAACTTATTTTGGCTTGTAAAACTAAAATGTATTTTTTTTTTTAGCTATTCATCAATTTGTTTCTGAACTTGGTGTCATTTAACAGAAGTCACATGGCAGATAATAATGTACAGACATATTTTGGTAATTTAGGTTGTAAAAATTAAAATATTAACCATTATAGAAAAAAACCATAAAACTATAATAGAACAGATGTTATTTAAATATTTTTTTGCAAATCGTTTATTTTTACGCTTAATCGTATACCAAAATCCATAAAGACATCTTGATAAGTCAAGAAATTACGACATAGTTCTCGAATAGTTTTAAAGATGTTAAAGCTAAATGCGAAACCAAAGATGGCAGATATCTCACTGTCAAGTCGTTTATGGAAAAATAGTATTCTAGACTTTTGTTTATTTTTACCTCTTTTTCAAAATGTTTTTCAAACTTTTTCAAAACTAACTTTTATAACCAATTATGCGAGTAATTTACATGCTTGGGTGCTGGAGAATCTTTTGTTTGTTATGGAAGGTTTGCCAGATAGGGGAGAGAAAATGTCTTTAATGAATATAACATATAGTTCCAACCTAAAGGTGAGTGAGCGTAGCGAACAAACTTCAACCAGGACGTGATTGAGCCATGCGAACGAGATAATCTTGAAAATTAAGAAGTTAAACGGGGCAAAGCCCGCGGGTTACAGCTAGTATAGTTATAATAATGGACATCTTAAAAAATGTATCCTTGTATTTGATTACGGATTAAGCTAAGTGAACAATCCTGTTAAATAATTAAAATTTGCAACAAAATATCTAACTCAAACTTCGAACATCTGTCATTACTCCTTTTTACTTACATCATCATATCAAATCCATTAGAAATTGTTTAATATCTTTTTTACTCTTTGAGCATGATTATGTGTTTTCAAACTTTTTCTATTTTATCAAACATATTTTGATGGTGTAGAACAGTATGTATTAAACAACTGTTAACATTTTTGCACATTTTAGATTTTCTTCATTTTTCAGATATTTTATTGTGTTTCATAGCATCCCCTAATTTTTTAGTATCTTAAATTTTCATACTGATGTTTCAAAGGCAAATTTTTACTTATCATTGGTGTATATATTTTAGTTTTGAATAATATCGTGTTGGTAAACATTAAAGTACGTAGTATAATGTAACAGTAGCATAGAACATACTGAAGCAAAAATATAGAAAAAAACTCTTCAAATCATGAAAGTAATACAGTAGAACATAAGAAATCATAATTTTTAAGGTTTTGTCAAGTTTAGAAAACTCATACCCATTTGACCCCCCTGCATACGCCTTTGGTTAAGACTCAGTTTCAAAATGTTTATTAGGATTTCGACCAAAATTTCTTAAAGTCCAATACTTTATTCTGTACAAGTACTTAACAAATTACCACCTAGAATAATGCGCTATTTTGTATTTATAAAGGCATTTAAGGGACATTTTAGTACAATATCAAACTCAAAATCATCCTGGCTTGAACATACGGTGAACATCTTTGTGTTTCTTGTGGTAAATCCCTACTCATATTACTAAATTACCCACTTCTCGAGACACAACAATGTAACTCCATAAATCAACATATGATTCATGGGTGGAAAGAGATTGAGATCCAGTCAAGTACAAACCCTCTTATTACGATCTGGGGAAATTTGGAAAGAACAAGCAGAAATTTATCGTACCATCTAGCGGTGCATTCAGATACTAAATCATCTTTGGTCGGTACATCGTTATACCCACTCAGTTATTTGTGTAAAGCCCTGTATTGAGAAATAGGATTTCTCGATACAACTTGAACGAATCAGGTGGATTTGGCAACCGGTTTGGTCATGTTGGTATGAATCGTCATTGAATACTGATACTGAAGTAGACATCTCATATGGGAGTCAAACTCCAAGCTATGTTTTTACTAAAAGAAAACGTGGTTGAAGAGTCGTTCATTTGAGTAAGTGACGAAGTAAATTGTCCAATTTGTTTTTTACATAACAGTTTTAGTTTTTTCCATCATACACAGTTATAGTTGATGTTAAGTTTCGCTTTAAGTTTGACGAGACTATAAAGTTTGTTAGCATGAGAGAAAGTGTAATTTCATAGCAGTTTGGAAAATGAATGTGCGTTTGAGTATATCATAGACTTGACCCAAGCACTGATAGTAGTATTTTAACGTATATAATATTTTTCAAAAGTATTTACCCATTGAAACAGTTCCTTTGGGGAAATATCGGGTAAAAAAGCTAGGGCAGTTACTTAATTTCTTTTGAATTCTTTAGAGCTGTGACAATTATGTCGCCGTGATATGGAAAAGTTACCAGTTTATATAGTATATCCATGTGGTATCCATGTAGTGAGACTGAAATAGTGAGCATTTAAATACAGTGAAAATGTACGTAGTATTTGTTGGCATCAAAAAATACAATTTACAGTAAACCAAAATTAGAAATTGATTATATCAAGTACAACAACGTGAAAGTCCAACAGCGCACGCGCCGTAAACGCAGAGCACGGCACCTGCGCGGGAGAGCGCGGTGCGTCACAGTAGCGTAGTGATTCATGACCAGCTGATCGCAATTGCCGGGAAAGTGAGTGAGCAGGTGACACAACAATGCAACAGCTGATGCACTGAGTCAGTAACCGGCTCAAGGCTGCATACCAATGCAGTAACGGTTGCACCTACCCCAATGCAATCGGAATTGCGAATGACGTTGCAACCGGACATACGAGGTCGAGTTTTTGCGACAATTGGAGCAGACAACTTGTTTGGCGACCTTTGCGAATAATCTGACTGTCGTTGCTCCGTATTCGGACAGGTATGGATGAGGTGCATGTCTAAGAAGGATACGGGTGACATTGAATTTATTACTTCGGTACATGAATCTTGCAACCGCCTACGAAATGAGGCGAATAAGCGACTTGCGATTTGTTTGCCACGTAGTCCTTGTAGAGGTCTATGATGGATGGTGGAAGAAATGTAGCTTTCGTCCTTTGTAACCTCAAGTTCAAGTTTCTTTCTCGCTTCCACATTCAAAGTTCTAGCGATGCTAAATGCGTTGAAATATTTAAATCTCTTGGTTACCGTAAGTCGTGACCATACGGATAGTACTTATTATGAAAATCTGAAATTTTTTTACTTAAAAAAATAAAACAACCATCTTGGTTTTGTAAGGCGGTATATAAAGTTTCGGCGGAGAAACGTGTAGACCACAAGAAGCACTTTAAATCATTGTCGAAAACATAATGTTATTAGTACCGTAGTCTTGGTGATAGACTATTTTGTTTAAATCACCAGTTTTAAGTGGCAACAATTAAAATAAACACAGAAATTTACATAAAATTATAACCTACATAGAATTCACAAAATACAACACTGCAATATAACTCAATGTGTATGCAAAATTAAACAACAGACATACGCAACATTTTTATATCAACAAGATTGAATTTTTTTGAATATTTTACAATCATAAATAACAGAAGACAACGTACTCAACACTACAGTTCAGCCAATCGTATTGTAATAGAAATATAACTGCCCATTCACTTCCCAGTAAGAAACAACATTATTTTGCCCACGTTAGAATAAATCCTAGTTTGGCATTCAGCAAGTAGGCCTAACGGACCTCTCACTACATTAACATATGATACCCGGAGACAATGCGCGTTACAAAATAGTGCGTAGGTGCGTAGTCGTGGTGCGTAGTGCGTAGGATTTGCTCGCAACATGCGTCTGTGTTTACAACTGTTAACTGCGTATTTGCATTTCAAACTCAATCCTCGATGCTATACACTTCACATTGTGAAAATCATATTTTTTAGATATCACTGGGTTCTGATGTGGTGCGTAATCAATTAAAAATTTGCTTTCTCCATTTTATATTACAACAGTTTGTAAACAAATTAGTATGTGTAATTTTAACTGACGACAGTTTTGACAATTTTGGTTGGACTTAACATGCTAAAAGTATCGCGTGTAAGCACAAATAAATACAAATAGCATTCCATAAATGTTTGATATAACACAAATTTTTGGGGTAAGTAGGTTGAAATGGGAAATCTAATAAGTGATGGGACACAATGAGAAATAAACATATTGTTTTTAAAACAGTTTTTCCATTTACTTGTAGTAAAAATTGTCAATGTTATGCCAGTACTTACGAAATGTTTTTGGAAAGTGTGTCGATTTTAATTTTTACGCACGAACTAAGGATTTTCCAAAAGAAAAATAGCTACAGTACCTAAAAATCTATACAATTTATGTATAGAACGTCATATGCATTTAACACAGATTTTATCTAAAAATTATGGTTTCGCTATTTAAGTAGATGTTCGAATCTTCTTTTTTGGGAGCCAGCAACGTTTAAGTAACGAAACTTTACGACGATTCAACGCTTCCGAAATATTGACCAATATTTCCACCAATTTAACAATATGATTATTTCCCGAAGACCAAGATTGAGCGACAAAGTGATATACAAATTATATAAAGTGCATATTGTGACCTACAGTGGAGGGGAAAGCACTCAGTGCTGCGGCGCACATTCGAAATACAGCGCAACGTATCTACAACTCACACGCAGGCCTGGCTGGTTATAGCGCATGCGCGATAGACGAGTACTCTTCACTCTACAGCGCATGCTCTCGTACTGCGTGCGCATACCTGCACGCACACACCCTGG